AACTGTATGCATCTTTCTTTCAATTCAAAGATGCCCTATTTTCAAAGATCTCAAGGTCTTCATGTACACTGTTTGCTCTGCCTGGCACCCTTTCCCATAACCTCTTCCTCTGGCTAACTCCTGATTTTCATTCAGTTCCCCACTTTAACATCAGTTCCTTGGGAAGACATTACCTTATTCTCCTAGCTAGAGCAGATCTTCTCACCACACTTTCCTATAACAACCTAACCAATGGACTGTAAACCCCTTGGGGCAAGGACCATATTTCTTCTGTATGTCCGGGTTCTGGCCCTTCAGCATCTCTCAATAAATGACTGAATGAATAAATTACCCACATATACAATGGATTACCATATCTGGCCACAGAACTGTTCCCAAGGGGAGATATTTTTTAGTCATTAGGAATATCACTCAGTGATCAAGTAAACTTAAGGCAAAAAATAAAATGCATCTAGAAAATCTCATCTCTCAAATTAGGTGGAAATCATTCTTTTAGAGATGAAGTTTGGGAAATTGCTGGAAATCAGGTAACTTAATTCTCTTAACATGATAGTTTATTAATGAAGCTCTCAGTCTTGATTTTCTGCATAATTAGCATAACAACCTATGTTCAGGGATGATTTTTCTAAATGACCAGTCAACATCAATCTCAACTTCATAAGCTACAATTTAAAGAGTATTGCAAATGAAAAAGAAAAGTTATCAAGAACATATTTGAAGTTTCAACAGTGGGACGTTTGTCTTTTAATGTCAAGCTAATAATTCCTGCAAATGAGGCAGAAGTCAGAGTGAGGTAATCATTAGTTTAATGATGCAGTGCTAATTAACTTCACCTTTTCCAGATAGGGTATGTAATATAAACCTGGAGGCTGGTTAAGGTAATATAATTTCCAGAAAGAACTATGAAGGGGAATAATGGTGACTAACTTGTGATGGACCATTGTTCGTTCCAGTAAGAAAAAGAGAGGCACAAATAGGGTGTTTAAAGGTCCGGTAACTATACAACACTTGGTCTGGAAAAGAAAAATGAAAGTCCTATTCATTTACACATAGACACTGGGAAAGCACTTGCTAAAAATTAGTGTTATTTTACATACAAAAGTTGTGTTTCTCTAGAGCAGTGCTGTCCAATAGAAATATAATATAAGCCACATATGAAATTTTTAATTGTATAATAGTCACATTAAAAAGAAATAAGTGAAATTAATTTTAACAATATATTTTATTTAACCTGATACATCCAAAATATTATCACTTAAATATGTAATCAATATTAATTTTAAAGTATTTCAACATGTAATCAATATCTAAAACATTAATGAGATATTTTACTTTTTGGAGGCATACTAAGTTTTGAAATCCAGTACGTAATTTACATTACAGCACCTCTCACTGCAAACTAGCCATATTTCATGTGCTCAATAGTTACTTGTGGCTACTGGCTACTGTATTGGGCGTGTAACTGTGTAACTTTAGACTCTATTACCCAGATAAGTTTAAGTGTGTGTGTGTGCGCGATGCTATTAGGGGCAACTCCAAAGTAATGAAAGATCTGGAATGTCTTTTGAATAACCAGATAAAGACAATCTTTTTAGTATAATTTTACAAGCATGTTTTATTATGTTCTAATTCTTTGAATATTGGTAATTCATGAATGGACTATGATTAAGCATAGTGATGGAGTCATTATTTGTGATGCCTTAATTTAGCAAGCATTCATGATCAAGGTTTCCTTTTAAAAAGCCTCAGCAAGGATGCAGAGTACCTGAGTAGAAAAAGAACTGGACATGTGGAAATCAACATGGTCTCCCCAGACATGGAGTCTTCACGAACAAGTCAGGGCTCAGACTCTCCTGATGGGGAAACTACCTTCCCTTGGTTCATAGAGGGAAGTACCAAGGAAGTGAGAGCAGAGACACTTCTCAGGCAGGATGGAGGTAGAGGAAGCCTGTTTGCAGGCAGGAGGAAAAGCACCTCTTCTATAGTCAATTTACTTCACTAAAAGGGGTATCTTACTCTCAACATCTCACACTCTGAACACTCTAGATAAATGGTCATTGCTGTTCACTTCTGATTATGGCTACAGTGAATATACCACAGTACGCCATAACGTTATCCACAGCGGGTAGAGGGATGGGGTATTGATCTCCTCTTTTAAGGGGAGAACTCCATCTGAATCAAACTTTGATCCTAAATTCTAACTGAGACCTAAAGACTAGTCCAAGCGGATAGTATTTGGAATTGCGTAAGAGATGGACACCATTTTAAGAGATCTTCTACTGTCAGCTCCTTGAAAGCAAGTTAAGCCATTTCAAACGAAAGAAAACACCTTACTCATATGGCAATCATAGCTTAATCTTTAGTTATTATAACAAATTTTAGTTGGGCCACAGGAAAACATTTTTTATTGTGTTTTATTTCAACTGTTACTTTTTGATTTATACAATTAACTTTTGGCTTAGTTTATTAATTGTTCCTATTTATTAACCCCAATCTGCTTATAACAAATAACACACAGATATAGATTTAAGTAGAAGACAGAGATAAGAAGACATAAACTAATATTATTTGAATGTCTATGTGTCTAGTTCTGAGCTAAGCATTTTCCATACATTATTGTCACTCACAGTTGAGACAGGACAACCGAAGCCATTTTATATAGAAGATTGTGTGTGTGTGTATATATATATATTTTTTTTTTCCTTGAAACTTCATCATAAGGAATAGTACATACTCCACAAACATGAGAATCTTTAAATGTCTTTGGTTATCAATTTATTGTTTTCAGTGTTTCCTTCCTAGACTTTTGACTCAATCCCTTATTTTACAGCTTTAAGTTATTTCTGAGTTTGTTCTGAATAGACAGTTTCTTTATATAAAGAAGAGAAGTTAAATTGTTTAAAATGTTATAAGAGAAATAACTTGTCACCTCTCTTGCAAATATTCAAAGCTATTACTACAGCTCTTATGTTTCAACCAGTTGATGGACTAGAAATCTTGTTTTCCTTTTTGCCTTTCATCTCAGTAAATACCTTTTTTATTGACCAAAAATTTGAAAGTTAAAAAAAATCACTTTGGCTTGCTATTTCTAATTAGTTCTTTTATTCACCCTTCAGGCTAATGACAATCAAACTTTCACTTTGCTTGTATTCATTTAGCCAATAAATCTTCACTTAATTCATGTTTGTTGCACATCTACCATGCGCACATTTCTCTGAGGATATTTCTGTAGTCAATCTCTGTGCTCCACATGCCCAAAGAATTTAGGTTTTCCTTCACTTTTGACAGGCACAATTATCTTAAATTTTATATAATATTATGACATGATCTTTCCAGTTAAATACAGACACCTAGAAATTGATTCAGTGCCCTTCCAGACAGGGAGTAGAGGCTAAATAACAGTAGTTATAATGTCAGGGATCAGGAAACTATGACAGGACAACAGAAATGAAATTTTTCCCTCTGGAGATCTCATCAAGATCCTCTGGCAGAACAAAGTTGTCTGCTCCCCTCCCTAATTCTTCATCCCACAACCCTCCCATGCAATGTAAATTATGCTTTGCAGAATTATTCTAAATGGATAGGTCTGAGAACATGTTGTGCTTTCCTAGTCTGTCTTTTGGGATGGAAGATGCTTAATGAGAGACTGGGGCTTATTCTACATGCTACAGACAACTCCTAGACTTTTATGGATGCTCTCTGAGTTAAAAATAAAAATTCCATTATGTGCATACTCTATTTGAATTCATTCTAAATGAAGAGAACCAGCTTCCCAGTTTGAGAAGAAGCAAAGACTACTTTGTAAAAAGAAAAAGGGGATAAAGATGCAATTACTAGCTAATCTCAAAAGTCCATTGATAGCAAAGATAAATATGAAAAAAGTACCAATTGTGACCTCCTATTCACAATTTACAGATGACTCATCAGCTCAGCAGACAACATATTGGACTCTTCATTTAATTTTATTTGCATTGAAAATGCATACATGAGGGGAAAGGACTTGGACTATAGACCCAAGGGGACCTGACTTTGACTTGGGATCCCATCTTCCACTCACTAGCTGAGTAACTTCAGAAAACGTACTTGCAACTCTCTGAGTCACAGAGTCCTCACGTGGGGTAGGAACAATGCCAATCATGACCCAGTGGTGCTTTGAGGGAAAAAAACTTAAGCAATACAACAGTGTCTGGACCAAGATAGGTCTGAATTGACATTAGTTCCATTTCCCGTTCCACTCCCCCGACCCCCCCAGTGTCTGAGAGAAGCAAATTTGCTTTTGCTTTAGCTTTGAAACATGAACTTTCTCCCCTCCCCCATCAGAACACATTTTTCAAACTGTCACAAATCTAAGAAGAAACACTAAGAAATGACTGTGAATAGAGGTATCATTTAACATGAGAGTTTGGGGACAGGAAAATTAATAATTATACCTTAAGCCTCACTATAATTCTAGTAACAATGGAGATGCCAATTTTTCCTTTGTGCTCTTTTTTTACATTTCATATTCTAAGTAAAGCTATATCATTTTCTTTTTTAGAAAGCTCTTAGGCTAAATGACAGGATGTGGGATCAATTCCAACTGCTAGTCCTGATCTGCCCCTTAGCCTGTTCTTCAACAAGGTTAATAGGTCAAAGATGGAAATAAAATTCTTAAGTCTTGGTTTAGCTGGATCCTGTCCTTAATGTGCTGAGAGACTTTAAAACGTGTTTTACACACGGGAGGAGAGAGGAAGAGGCGATAGACAATGTATCGTAAGGAACTTTCCTCTACATAGTTTTGTCAGGGTACTGCAATCATTGTCATAAGCAAAAGAGAGAAAAATGTTGACAGTAAGAAGGAAGCCACTTTTATGTTAAGAAGGGAGGATGGGGTGGAGTTAAGAGTGAAAATCATTCGCTTTAGACTAAAGTAACAGGCAACTTGAGGTCTTCCAGGACTTGTGCTACCGTGGGGTCCACAAGTGGGAGGTCATTCATTCCTGGTCCCAGACCCAACTCACCCAGCTGGAGCTGTTCGCACGTTCGGTCTGGATTCTTTCCGATCCGGCATCTGTAAATCGCCCCGGGATTGACCACAGAAGCGTTGGCAAGCCAGTTGGCCGTGGGCGCCCCCACCACGAGCCTAAAGCGAGAAATGTGCACGTGCGCGGAGACTTGAGCCGTGCTGCCCACTGAATTCTTGGTCTCAACAGACGTGCAGCTGGCAGCGGGGCCGCTCCCCCACCTCCTCCTCCGCCCACCACCCCGCGCACCCAACCAGCCACCCGTAACTCGCAGCTCCAGGGCCTCGCGCCAGAACGCACCCCGGGCGCTGCTACCCCCAAGATAAGTTAGTTTCCAGAGCAGATCTCTGGCGAGCTGGCCGTCGCAGCACTCCCCGTCCGCCTCCTCCAGAGGGGGGAAAGTTTGAATCAGGCAGGGAATCCCTGAGGAGCCCTTCACACGCCGGCTGTGAGATGCCGAGAGCGCCCGAGTCCGACTCCACTCACCATCGGTTCGCCCCGTGGCTGTGCAGCACCACGGAGTAGCCGAACAGGGTGTTGGGGGGGCCCTGGTAGAGCAGCGCGTTCTCGGTGTCCAAGTTGTAGGGGCGCCCGGTCCGGACCCCCAGGCACAGCAGCAGCATCACCGCCTCCCGGACGGTGGCCCCTCGGGGGCCTAGCCCGCGCCTCGCTTCTCCAGCCATGCGCTCTCGGAGGGAAACATTCAACACCAAACGGCCACTGTCCCCAGTTGAGCGGGATGCGACGGTCGGCCAAGGGGAAGAACGCCCCAAGAGAAGAGGCGCAGCGTGTCCGGCGCCAGCCGGCGGGGGGGAAGGAGGGCGGGAGGAAGGGAGGGACGGACGGAGGGAGGGGAAGTCTGGCCGCCGCGGGCGGGGCAATCGGGGGCTGCCTTGGATGCCGCCCGCCCTCTGTGCCCCACGCCTGGGTTCTGCAGTCGGGAGGTGCGGGTGCTCGCGCGGTCCCGGGGCGCTGGCCGCTGGGTGGGGTCCCGGGCGTGGCGCGGAGTCGCAGGACCGGGCGCCGTCTCCCCCCGCGCGCGGCTGTAGGGGGCGCTAGGGGACCTTGGCTGCTCAGGACGCGCATCTGGGCCGGGGCCTCCCAGCCCGCTGAGCGCGATGCCTCGGGGCTCCTGGGGCTTTGCAAGAGCGGAGCTGAAAGGGGCCCGGGGCTTCGCCTTTTAACTGTGGTTGTGGCCTGGATGCGGAGCAGCGTGGCCCCAACCCGACACCGCGCGCACCCCACTATGAGCGCAGAGGCTCCGCGGCCTGCCCGGCATGGCCCAAAGGCCAGCTACAAATCCGAGCACCGAGACTTTGGCGGGGAACCGTCCGATCTTTCGTTGATAATTAAGCGCTGTATCTGATTTTTGGGACGGAAGCAACCGCTAGAAACATTAACCGGAGGGGCGCAAATTACAAACAAAAGGAACTCCCTGAGTTCCCCTGAAGAACATTTTGGTGACAAAGACCTTATGGCTATTCACTTCAAGACTCAGAGCCCTGCACCTTTCTATGCCCACTTCCTTCCTCCCTACACTTCCTCTTAAATCCAGGCTGCCCGCGTGAGGAGGCAGACCAGCCGCGCTCAGGCTGAATGGCACGCGGTTTAGGCCGTTGCTGGGTCCAACATCGAGGCTGGGTTAAGTAAGCACTGTGACTCGCCTCATTTTAACGGATTCCTCTCTCAGGCTCTCAATTCTCCTCGTTTCCACACATCCACCCAGTTGCACCGGATACACCTGCCATCGGGGGTGTACACCCAGTGTGAGGTCAAGAGACAGACACTATAATCAGCCTCTGAAAATGCACTGGAGACCCACAGCACAACGCACCTGACCTGGGCGATGATTCGCATCCTAATGAAATCCAGACGTGGCTCAGGTTGCTGTCTAGAACAACCAGAGAGACAGCCCAGATGATTAGGCCGATATTTGCAGGAGATGCAGGTCCAGTTGTTAATTATTGCTATATGAAAACACAAAAGAAGAAAGAAAGAGGGTTCATCTAAGAATGTGTGTGTGTGCCTTAAAACGATACTGAAATAGCACGTCTTAAGCTGTAATGGCAGACACATGATTAAAATACTCATTTATTCAGCACATTCATTGAGCAGACACTTTGCTAGGCCCACAGGATACCACAGTGAAGAAGGCGGGAGAAGCCTTCAGGAAAATTTTCACCCAAGTGGTAGAGAGACAAAGTTTTACTAACTAGAGAAAGTTCTGAACGCTTTAGCGACACTTAGAGATTTGAAGGACTAGGAGGGCTGAGTTAGGCTAAGCAGTTTGAGAGGAGGAGTGAGGTGTGGCTCAGCAGGGCCAGGTAGAGGAACTGGAAGAGGTGGTCTTGGTGGAGCATTGAGCTGCCCTTACATAGGTTAGCATGACAGGAGGCTGAGCAGGGAAGTAGGAACACATGGTGAACCTCTTAAGCCAGGTTAGGAATTTTGAACTCTATCCTGGGGCTGACAGGAAGCTGTTCAAGGATTTGTCTTGGTCAGCTGTGGGTTTTCAGAAGTGTGAAGAAAAGACTGAATACAGAAAACCTAATTTTGGAGGTTCCTGCAGTCATGAGCAGTGAGATGACGGTGGCTTGAACTAGAAAAGAGCAGAAGGGATAGAGGAAATATAGATTCAAGAGATATCTGAGAGATAGAACCCAACAGAACGTGGTGACAGTATTGGTAAATACCAATGAAGAGCTGAGATGAAGGAGTCAGGATGATGCCCAAGTTCCGAGTTTGGGATCTGGGTATATGTTGCTAATTCATAGAGAAAAACACAGTGGAGGAATGAGGTTATGCATGCGTGTGTGTGTGTGTGCGTGTGTGTGAATGTGTACAGATGCAGGGTACTGATGAATTAGGTTTTAGACAGGTGGAGTTTGAGATGTTTATGGAATATTCTAGCCAAACCCCACCCAATTATTTTTACTCTTTTGTCAACACACAAAACAGGAGGAAGGTAACCCTCTCATTATTTGCAACGAAGTAAAAGTCAGATAATGGTGTGTGATACATCTATTGTAAAAAGGAAATGGCTTCCAGAAAAGTAGCTATTGGGGCCCATGGGGAATGATCCTGCTCTGTTTTTCCACTCAGGGTGTATTTCTTTCTGAGTAGATCTATGTGCTGATTTCAACCCAGTTCTACAACTTGAGCACATTGTCATCATTCTGAAACAAGCAATCCCTCTAGTTTGCAGCCACAAAATTTCCCGGTGAGGCCGGGGAAGCAGGTATATCAAGGCACTCCCACACCCTCCAGACTCTGACAATGTCAGAGCCACTGATTTGAACCCCTACCTCTTTCTTTCCCTCCCTTCACCAAGATCTTGTACAATGAAATCTACTCAACACAATTTTTCTCATAGCGTGATTAAGACGAGTAGCGGCCAGTAGCGCTCTTGATGGGGCAGGACCTTATTTCTACGATTGCAGTTATGGTTATGATTTCACCACCTTTCCAGAAACAGCCACCCTTTACTACCTCACATGCTGTGTTAGCCCTGAGCTTTCTTTCCTCAAGGCTTAGAGAACAATTCACTTTTCCTAAGTCTGTAAGAATAAAAGATGTTTAATGTTGCTTTCACAAAGCCTGAAGATACTGCTCTCTCTCTAGTCAATGCTTTTGTAGGCAAGTGTGACAACTGGGTGTGGGGATGTGTGGCATGAAGGGGTAGAAGAGGAGGACTTTTAAAAACTACTTATGCCTATGACTCACCCTCAAGTGAACTTAAATATTCATTCAATTAATATGTGTCATTTGATTAATATACAGTCACGTGCCACATAATGACGTTTCAGTCAACGATGGATCACATATATAAGGGTGGTCTTTTAAGATTAGTACCATATAGTCTAGGTGTGTAGTCAGCTATACCATCTAGGTTGGTGTAAGTACACTCTATGATGTTCACGTGACGAAATTGCCTAACAATGTATTTCTCAGAACATATCCCCGTCATTAAGTGACGCTTGACTGTATATCAAGTGCCCACTATGTACCAGGAGCTGCAAAAAGGACTCAAATAAGAATAAAAGACAAAATACAAGTGGCCTCTATCCTTGGTAGGAAGTTTTCCCCAGTAGAGAGGATTCTATTATGGGCTCATGCAACTTCTCAGTTGTTATCAAGAGTGAGCACTTCTCCTTCTTGAAAGCCTCTCTTCTCATGATAGTGCCTTTTTTGAGCTCCCCTCATTTTCTGTCCAGCCACCCTGAGTCTCCTTTGCTGGCTCTTTTTCTCCACCACAAGTGTTGGAAAGCCTGAGGTCTCCATTCTGAGCCCTCTTTCCTTCTCTTTCCCTCCTCCCTCTTTAGGAGATCTAACCCATTTTCCATGTCTTTAAATACTAGCTACATAATACCATTAGATACCACTGTGAGTAGCCAACCCATGTCTCCAGCCTTGACCTCTCTTCTGAGCTCCAGGTTCTTATGTTTCACTGCCTACCCGATGTCTCTACTTGGATGTCTAGTGGGCACTGTGCACATAACATATCTAACACTGAGTTCTGGTTTCCTCACCTGCGACTAAACTATGTCTCCACCCAATCTCTCACTTTCCAGAAAATAGCACTCTATCTGTGCAGTTGTTCAGATCGGATATTTGGGGAAAAATCCTTGATCTTTCCTCCCCCTATTCCCCACATTTAATCCATCAATCATTAAGTTCTATCAATTTGACCCCCAGAATATATCTCAAGATCACCTATTTATCTTCTTCTGCCCTGCTACCACCCTCTTCCAAGTGCAGTAATCTTGTCTGGGCTGTTCAACAATCTGCTACCTACTCATCCCTCGCCCACACCATCAATTTTCTACATAGAAGCTAAAGTGAACTTTTAAATTCTAAATCAAATCATGCATGCCCCTCCCTCCTTTGAATCCTTTAAATAGTTTCCCATTTGCTCTTCCCGTACAGACCACACTTAACGTGGCCTGCAAGGACTCTACGATCTGGCCTCTGACTGCTTTGCCTGTTCACCATTGACCACTTCCCCCAGGATCACTTTGCTTTAGCCACATCGGCCTTGCTTGATTTTCTCAAGTGCATCAAGATTTTGTCACCCTCGGGGCCTTTGCCCATCTTGTTCCCTCTACCTGGACACACCTCTGACTTTTCACATGCTTCTTCTCTTCAGTCTCAGCTTAAAGGTCTCCTCCTCACAGAGGATTTTCCTGCCCATCCACTTAAAATAGGTCACCATATTGTTCTCTCACAAACAATCCTGTTCGTTCTCTTCAGAGCTCTTTAATGTATAATCATATATGTATTCACTTTTTCATTGTGTCTTCCTTTCTAGAATACAAGAGCAGAACACATGGGTTATGTTGTAGCTGTCGTTCACCACTATATCTCCAGCACCTGATATGCTGCCTGGCAAAGAGCAGGTGCTCAATAAGTATTTTTTGAATGGCTCTTAAATGATTTGGACTTTTTACATCACTAATGTCATAAACTGAGAAAAATCTGGATATTTATAAGTTTATGTTTATGCATTATTATATGCAAAACAATGTGTTTGGTCCTTTGGCAGATTCAAAGATATGTAAAACATAGGTCCTACTCTCAAACAGCTTGTAATTTACAAGGAGAGATGTGATATGCCTTAGAGAACCAGACAATAGAGTCAAATGTGAACGTCATATACATTGGGGAGAGAAGAGACATTGCTTGCTAACAAATGGTGTCAGCATAAAGGGCAGTCTTGAGACCTGAGTGTGGGTAGGGAAGAGAAAATGAAAGCACTGATAAAATACACTGGGAAAAAATAGACTTGAGTGGTCAGGTGCAGGTAATATGGATAACTAAAATATGACTGGCATTTTTAGGCCGGTGACTGGGACAACGGTGGTACTGTGAAAAAAACTAAACAAAAAAACAACCAGAAGAAAGAATTGGAATGGGGAGAAAACGGAGAGTGTGTTTGGATAATGCTGGCTGAGTTTTAGAGATGAGTCTGAGATGTTGGTGGAACATTCATAGACATATCTGGCAAGTAGTGTTTGGGTTTTTTTTTTTTTTTTTTTTTAATTTGGTCGCTTGTTTTACTTTTCTCTATTAGATATTTTTAATTACTAAAGTGAAGCATGTAAAATGTAAAACAATTAGTGATGCATAAAGAAAATGTGGACAATCTCTCTCTGCCTCCCTCTAATCCAACCTACTGAGACACCTTTTTGCCCCCCAATAACTTGACTGCCCCCAAGTGCTTGTTTCAAGGTCCATTCTTAGGGGATCCAAACTAAGACAATAGGAGATCATTTTTTTCACAGTAATGAAGTTTCAAGAGGAAACAAGAAGATCTGATTCTTTTACCCT